GATTGTCTTTTTGTTTTCTGCCTGGTCTAAGCTGGCCCCACAGAAAGAACAGACCACACAAGCTTACTGAGGTAAAAAGTAGGGGCGGCGGTGAGGTCTAGAGGGTCTCCTCGGAACTAGGCAGAGACGCCAACAAAAAGCGCCTTACGGCCAAGCTAACTCAGGCCTAGCAAAATACCCACCCCACTCTACCGCCTCTCCGGCCAAGGCCGTCGCTACGGACCAGAGGGCGGGGCCGCCACACCTTCGCGCGAGACCAGCCACGCGACTTCCCAGAAGGCCTCAGGCAACATCTTAATAGCAGCCAGGAAGCCGGACCAGAGCGGAAGGGTGGGCGGGGCTTGCCCGCATATTTAGCGGCACCCGAGGCCACGCCCCAGATCGGAAGTGACGGAGACGAGCTAGCGCGTCGAAGGTACCTCTATGGTTTTCCTCGCGTTCTTGAGTCGGGAAATGGCCGCTGTGTGGTTGCAACGGAGATAAATCCCCGGAACCGCGATTCGGCGTGTCAGGTAGGCCTCGCGCTGTATTCAAGTTACTCAAGAAGCAGTGAAGACCGAGGACAGGCCATATTTTTGACTCTTCTGTGGGTGGTGACGGGTTGGCGGCAAAAGGAGAACCAAGGAGACGTTGCGCCGTTATTTGTGCGTTTTTTCGTCAGCTTCCTTCAGGTTTTCGAGGCACTACGGGCCGAAAAGGCCGGGCGGGGGCGCTGAGCAGTGCTAACGGCGCGCGCGCTCGTGTTTGCGAACCTGGCTCGAGACCCAGAGCCCGCGCGGCCTCCGGTGCGCGTGCGCATATATTCCTCTTCCACCCTTCCCCCATTTTTTCAGCCTGTGTCCCTGCGCGCGGCCGCCTGAGCCTTCCGCGCACGCGCGCTCGTTCCTTTCTTTCTCCCCCGCCTACGGCGCCGACGGCCGCCAGAGGTGCAACTTGTGTCCGCCTCTCATTGGCTGGGACTGCCACCTTTCTTCCTGGCCTTTGGGGTTTTGAGAAAATAACTGTGACCCGCAGCAAAGTGCGTGGAGTAGGTCTGCCCCTTTTCTCGTGGTCTTTAAAACAACTCCCCAGCTTCAGACTACCGGTCAGTTGATGCCTCGTTTTTGTGATGCTACTAGGTTTTAGGGCTCTGTTCTGCCCCTCGCTGCTGACCCTGGTTCTCTGGAGTTAATTTCAGTACCCCCTGCAACCCGCTGTTTTGAAGCTAGCGCGCGCTGTTGACTTGTGGTGGTTGCCTAGTTACGTTTCCCTAGCGAGGGGATTGGGTCTTAGCTGGTGGTTCTGAGCCTGGCCCTGCCCCATCCGGCTGAAAGTGCGGTTCTTCACGAGTACTAGCGAAGCCGAGTCTTCAGCAAGTGATTCAGCCCGTTTAGTCGTGTCAGAAAAGTTGCAGCCACAATTGGTAGACAGCTGGTGTGAAAAATGGGTGGGAGTGGCGAATTGGACTTTGCCTTCATTTTAAATTCATGAGTTGGCTTTTAAGATTCGCTTTTAAAATTTATTTCTTCAGAATCAAGCTGAAGTACCAGCAGCTACTTCGCTACCTCAGACTTTTTGAAAAATCATTTTAGAATTGGAAAAGAATTAAGACAAGTTGAAAGCAAGTGTGGCTAACACTGATGAAAAAGATGAACTACTTCACACTTGCATCTCATTGCAACAGCGTCTTTCAAATTTTTTGGTATTACAAAGCAAAACAAAATGTATTGCTCCTCGTGTGAATTCTCATTTCAGTTCGACTCTAGTTGAAATGTTAGGATACTGTTTAGGCAGTAAATAACCTTTACGTAGGAAAAACTGCTACAAGGTTTGTGCATTTTTGGTCATAACCAATTCAGGATAAATAATTTGATGGGAGGGAAAAAGTGACTCCTCGGCGGGAGTTGAGGCTGCGGGGAGCTATGCTCGTCCCCCTGCACTCCAGAGGGGGCAACAGAGCGAGACCTTGTTACTTAAAAAGGTAGCTCATGGTAAACAACCTTGGAGCATCTTCTCTTAGTGATATCATACTTTAACCATTACATTGTGGTGAACACTGAAATATCTTCTTTAATTCAGGTAATTAAAATGGTGGCAAAGGAGACTGTTTAGCCGGAGCCCTTCTTAACTTTGAAGAACAGTGGTATTGTAAGACTTGGTGACAGACCTGTAGGTCTGATAGGCCCACTGGTAGGCTCAGCTCAGGTCTGGTTTATTTATGTATTTATTTATTTTTGAGACGGAATGTCGCTCTGTCGCCCAGGCAGGAGTGCAGTGGCCCAATCTCGGCTCATTGCAACCTCCCGTCTCCGGGTCCAAGCGATTCTCCTGCCTCAGCCCCCCGCCCCCCTCCCCCCCAGCAGCTGGGACTGCAGGCGCCCGCCACCACACCCGGCTAATTTTTGTATTTTTGGTGCAGATGGGGTTTCACAATATTGGTGTCGAACTCCTGACCTCAGGTGATCCACTCGCCTGGCCCACCCAAAGTGCTGGGATTACAGGGGTGAGCCCCTGTCCCCGTCCTCGGTTGAATTTATTAAACTTTTGTGGGCAGCAAGCTGTAAGAGGTTAACTATGTGATGAGAAGACTTAGAAATGGAGAAAGTTTTATCAGTTCTATGTAGGGCTTAGGTTGGGAGTTTCCGGAAACTACGTTGGAAATCAGTAGTTGCACACTAGCTGAATTCAGCTGTGTAATTTACAGTGGTTTGTTATTTAGTAAATAAGTAGAAGAGGGAATTAAGAAGCTAAAATCTCTGGGTACTTGTTGGATATGAATTTGTTAATTGTTTACACTCAGGTAATAAGTGTTACCTCAGTCATAGCATTTAATATGTTCTGACTGTCCCTAAGGCTGAAAACCAGCTAGTATACTAACACGAAGATAATACTAGCCTGTATTTGTGTAGTATTTTAGAGTTTTCAAACACCTTAATTTTGTTTGTTTATTTGTTTGAGACAGAGACTCGCTTTGTAGCCCAGGCTGGAGTGCAGTGGCGCCATCTCGGCTCACTGCAACCTCCGCTTCCCTGGTTCAAGCGATTCTCGTGTCTCAGCCTCCCAAGTAGCTGGGACTACAGGCGCCCGCTTGCCACCATGTCCCGCTAATTTTTCTTTTTTCTTTCTTTTTCTTTTTTTTTTTTTTGAGACACACGCTTGCTCTGTCGCCCAGGCTGGCGTGCAGTGGCGTGATCTTGGCTCACTGCAACCTCTGCCTCCCAGATTCAAGTGATTCTCATGCCTCAGCCTCCCCAGTAGCTGGGATTACATGGGATTACAGGTTCACGCCACAAAGGCCGGCTAGTTTTTCTTTTTCTGTTTTTGAGATGGTGTCTTGCTCTGTCATCCAGGCTGGAGTGCAGTGGCATGATCTTGGCTCACTGCAACTTCCACCTCACGGGTTCAAGCGATTCTCCTGCCTCAGGCTCCAGAGTAACTGAGATTAGAGGCGACCGCCGCCACGCCCTGCTAATTTTTATATTTATAGTAGAGACAGGGTTTTGCCATGTTGGCCAGACTGGTCTTGAACTCTTGACCTGGGGTGATCCACCCACCTTGGCCTCCCGAAGTGTTGGGATTACAGGCGTAAGCCACTGCATCCAGCCCAGACATTTTATTAAGCATGTCTGGAAAGACTTCTAAATGATGTTGATTAATGCTGTATCAAAAATATTAAGGTAACCTTACATGCAAGAATCATTTTAAGTAAACGTGGTTAGCTTGTAGAAAGGCTGCCTAAACAAGGTTTACCAATAATGATGGCTAATGCTAGATTGTATACCATGAGCCAAACATTAAACTAAGCTGTTTACGTGCCTTAGTTCATTTAACCCTGGACTTGTAAGGAAGTACCATTAGTAGCCTTAAAAAAACAAACAAAAACAAAAAACAAAAAAACACCAACAGAATTTGAAGCTGACAGATTAAGTTAACTTGTTCAGTGTTGGTCAGTTAGTTAATGGCTGAGCCAGGATTTGAATCTAGTCAACTGGAATAATAGTCATGGGCTATATTTTTAGGATTTGAAAAGATGGAAATAGCATTACTTTGTTTACAACAATCTGGGGACCAAACTCCTTGAGTCTGCTAAAATGAAGACTAGGATCAAGTATGCTTGAAATCGTAATCTTAAAGAATTCATTTTGGGTGACTTTGTCTTGGATATTTTGTTGAATCCAGTTTCTTTGCTCTGATCAAATTTTCTCTTTTTTTTTTTTGAGACAGCCTTGCTCTTGCCCAGGCTGGGGTGCAGTGGTGCAATTTTTGCTCACTGCAATCTCTGCCTCCTGGGTTCGAGTGATTCTTCTGCCTCAGACTCTGGAGTACCTAGGACTATAGACGTGCACCACCACGTCTGGCTAGTTCTGGTATTTTTAGTAGAGACGGGGTTTCCCCATGTTGGCCAGGCTGGTCTCGAACTTGTAACCTCAGGATCTGCTCACCTCAGCCTCCCAAAGTGCAGGGATTACACGGTGAGCCACCATGCCTGGCCTGATATAATTGTTTTCTAGCTAGTTTCTGATCACTTATGTTCTAGCTGGTCATTATGTATTATTTCATGAAAGATAGGCTCTGTTTAGATATTTAAGAACCTTATTTTTAAAAATAAAACCTGCTTTATTTTATCCTGTGTTCCTCATTGGTTAGTGTGTCAATTGGCTAAAGATACATACTGCAATTTATTCCTTATCTCTCTATACAAGTGGGAATCTATTAAATGATCTTGGTTGTAATAAAGGGAAGGTTAATTTGGCATTTTTAATTCTGTATTTGGGTTTTGGCCACCTCAGGCACCTTTTAGGGTATTGAAGAAAGAGCACTGGAGTTGGAGTCAGAAGATTTCAGTCAAATTTTGGATTAACCATTTACAGTCCGACTATGGGCACAAAAAACGGCAAACATATCTTTTGTTTTCTCCCTCAAACTTGTCCTTCTCCGAGATGTTTAAATCTAAAACCTAGAATTTAAGGGCACTAGTGATTTTTCATTTTTCCTCTCTCTGTACTTCACACCCCTAACAATCCATTAACAAGTCATTTTGACAAACCACATCTTGAATTTGCCTCTTTTTTTCATTGCTGTTTATTTTTTATATAGAAGCCATCTTAAAATGAAATCAGATGAGTGACTCACCCAAGCAAACCCTGCAAGGGTTTCTCAATCAAGTAAAATCCTGACCCCTTTTGGTGATCTACTAGATGCTATTTGATCTGGTCCATTCCTCCTCCTGCTGCCTTATTTCATACGCTCAACTCCTTGATCACATTGCCTCAACCTTCTTATTGGTGTTTCTGTCCTGAATTTGCTAAGTTTGTGTCCTCTGCCTAGTATGCTCTTTCCTCTGTGGATCTTTTCTGTGTTCCCTGTCCTTAGACCCAAATGTTACCTCCTTAAAGAGGGCCCAAGGATCCACCTAAGTAGTGCCCCCGCCCACCTCCTCTGCATGTCAGCTTGTACTTTTTCCCCCCTCTCCAATGTGGCACTTGCCACCATTTGATTTTTTTCTTGTTTTCTGTCTTCCCCTCTCTGAAAGCTTCAAGAGAGTAGGGAACTTAAAGTCCTTCTTAAAATGCTGTATTCCCAGCATTAGAATAGTAGTGTCTGGCATGTAAGGCACTTACTTCAAGTTATTTGCAAAGTTTAGAGTTCTCTGTATTTGAAAGATGGGATTAATATGTAGCTCATGAGATTATTAGGATCAAATATGAGATTATTTTATTTAAGTCACCTAGCACGGTTCTTGGCACATGGCTGGTATTTAGATGTTTAGTTTACTGTGATTTATTGCTGATATCTGTTCTTGCTTTGGTTTTTGGAAGGCAGGGACCACTTACATAGACATATTTCCTATAGTAATTAGTATTGTGCTTTGTATATAGACTTTCATTTTTTAAAAATTAGCTGAACTAATCAGCTTTGATACTGATTTATTTATTGTATCACATTTTGTGTGTTATTTGAGTTATTGGTGTGGATACTTGAATATATTTATAAATTGTGAACAGGAATGTATATCCACTGGTCTAACAGCCTATGTTCCCTCTTCTGTCAGTTTTTTGTATCTAGTGTTTATTTTCTTTGAACTTCAAAATATCATGACTTGCAGTAAAGAGATCTGGCAGTTGAGTCTTCTTTGGATATATATAGAAATTAGCCTTTTGAAATTGTTTAGGAAAATGTTAGCTAAAATGAGCCTTGTATCACTTCTAGGAGTGAATCAGTAGTAATGACTTTCCAGGTCAGAATACAGTTTTTTATCAGTACTCCAGTTTAAAATACTGCCATTTTTTTCCTCTGGCCACTTGGGGTTTTGATATTTTAAAAACTAAACTTATATGTCCTTTAGAAATCCTTTTGTTTTGTACCCAGCCTTACTTGGCTTTTTGACTTTACTACTTTTTTAGTATGTTTCCCATAATAGGTTCCGATTCCTCCTTCCTAGCCTGAACTTCAAATCTCTCCCCAGTTGGAGGGCCATGGATATTTTAGGAGACACTATTCTTGATTCACCACTTTAATGTTACTATTTCTTCTTTGTATTTCCAGTCTCATTTTATTTTTAAAATTGGATCTTGGTGAGAGTTACAGATTTCCATTTAAACTTGTTCATGAATTCTTCTGAGTGCTGGCATATATTAATCTTGTATTCTTTAGTTTCTGTTCCCCTAGTGCTTTAGACTATCCTTTGCACATACTTGATATGAATATACACAGAGCTAAACTTTTCAGTATTGGTAACTTGAATATTTTGTGCAAAGTGTATTTACAGAGTAATGATAAATTATTTTAGGAAGAATACTTTCAATAGATAAAAGTTTCATTGCTGACTGTTCTTTTATTTGAATATACATGTATCAAGATGCTTTTAGGCACAGAATTTGAAGTTACTATGACGGCTGTTAATGTGGATTTTAAAATCAGTTTCACATGAAACTAAATTGTGTGAAAGGAAGTACCAAAGAGAATAAGTAGCAGAACATTAAACTCATATTTTAGATGTTATAAAGTAGAGCATTATGAAAATTATAGATTACATTTTTTTTTTTTTTTTGAGATGGGGTCTTGCTATGTTGCCAAGGCTAGAGTGCAGTAGCTAGTCCCAGGTATGATCACAGCGCATTGCAGCGTCAAACTCCTTCTGCCTCGGCTTCCCAAGTAACTGGGACTACTGGCTTGTGCTACCTTGCCCCTCTAACAAGATGGCATTATGTTAGCTACCTTGGAATTTTCTGATGGAACGACAACATATCATGTTTCCTAAACCTCAAATTGCTAAAATTAGAATTCAGGTAGTTAAAAGTAAAAAGATGCTGTCAGTTTCATAATACACTACTGCATTGTGGTTTACAAAAAAGTTGAGTTTTAGGCTTTTATGGTTGAAAGTTTCCTATTTCCTGAATTAGTTTTTCCTTCCCTGAAATTGTAAGTGCATTTAATAGAGTTTATTGCAGTGCCCATTATATGCATTGTAAATAATGGTTATTTAATTTAACATAAATCAATGTAATGTTTTTTTGTCTTCGCTAGGAATTTGAATTTAGAGTTTAATCTCTCAGAGCATTCTCTCCAGGAGGAATATTTACAGTATCTGAAAGACTTCACTTGACTTCTTGATCCTGCTTAAAGCCAAGGTAAAGAGCATTCATTTTTCTAGTTTTCAGTTTTGACTTTTTTGAGGAAATGTCACTACTGAATTGATGATTCAGTTTTTTGTTTATTTTGGTGGCTTGTATGAAGTAAGTCAGATATTAAGTTAGTTTTAGGAAAAAGGTTCTTTTTCTGTCTTCTTCCAGGTTGTGTTCCTGCTTTTTCTATTTCTATAAACACATCTACTAAAAGACTCAGGACATACAAGATAAACTCTGCTACTTAACCCATTTTCCCTAATGTAAACAAGAGGAGATTCATAACTTGTTTCTACTGTAGTGTTTAGGTAATTCAAATTGATTGTTTCTTATGTGCTAGGTGTGTTAAGTGAATTAAGTTTATCAACTCATTAAGTCCTCTACAAGTCTACGAAGTAGGCACTGTTATTTTCTTTGTTTTACAGTTGAGGAACAGGCTCAGGGAACTTAAGAAGTTTGAATTCATGTAGTTTAAATGCAGAGACCATGTTCTTAGCTTTTTTCCTAAGTGTATTTTTGCAGTAGAGCAGAAGATATCCATTTCTTTTAGACTGCTATTTGATAGGCATGCTTTCTTTCCATTAGTTTTTGAAGTTTCAGGTGTAGCTATTAAAAAACAAAGCAAAACACAAACCTTTAAAAATAAACTTGCTGCTTTAAAAAATATCCAGGTTCTGGGGAATGCATTCATTTGATAGTTACTTATTAAATACCTGTTGTGCTTATGTGCCACAAGCCCAACTACATCCTGTTGACTGGAAAAGCCTACAGAATTCATGAAACCTTAACAGAAATTACCATCCAAAAAGCCTCGAGCCAAGAACAGAGATTCTGGAGATACAGCACAACACAGCATCTCTAGCTCTTAGTAAACTCATAGTGTTTTATTTACGGATTAATACAATGGAAAAGAATGTTGCCTTATTGCTGGACTGGATCTCCAAAATCATTTCCAGCTCTGGTTTCTTCTTACAGTGTGTCTGATTATCTCAGAGTGGGATAAAAATAAATATCTTAAAGTAAATTTGATCACAATGAATGTAAATTACGTATTTATATTCTTTTAAAATGTTTGGGAGGACAGAATTTTGAAATCAGATAGCACTAGAATGTCGCAGTTCCCAGTGGCCGAGGTTCCTTCCTTTACAGGCTGTAAATTTGGTTTTTGCCAATTTCATGATGTTGTCAAAACTACAGTTGCTAAACCAAATTTGTGTTCTACGAGGTATCAGATCTCCCTATGTTAATGCTAAATTTCTTTCTTCTGTGTTGTGGAATTCTTATTCTGCCTTTTTGAACCCTGAACCTATGTTTTATTTCTGTCTTTATGTATTTCTTGCTCCCTTGGGATTCAGAAGAAGAGTGAGAGAAGACAAAGGTGGTAGTCTATTAGAGGATAGTTATGTTCTGTTTTGAAATCAGCATGAATTTGTTATTTATATTGTTTGATGAGGAACTATCCAGGTATTACCATTACCTCTTCTATAACTGAACTCATCTTAGTACCTCCAAATAGTATTTTATTATACTGAACAAAGTCTAGGTAGGTAAAATAAGTGCCTTCAAAAATATTTGGTTGTAGGAGATACTATTTAAGTATTATGGGAATTGCAAGCTGTTAGAAGTTTAATAAGTTGATTTTTATTGAAATAAATACTTTTTGGTAAGTTAGTGTAAATTTGGAAATAGTTCTATGCAGCAAAAACAAGCTTGAGAGGCTAAGATATCTCAATCATTGAAAAGTTGAAAATGTGACATTTGGGATGTACATGCAGTGATTTGCTGTGTATGTATATTTTTTCAATTTTGTGAGGAGTAGATCTTATAAATCAATTAGTTCTGACAGTTACTGATTTCTGTACCCATTGAGGTCTAATTATAGCATTGGATACCATGTAGTGTTTAGAAAAGTTAAACTACTGGTGCCCAAGTGTTTTTTCTTGTAGTTCCAATATATCTTTCTTGAAGTAATCCCTCCAATTCTTTATATTTTATTCTTCTTATATCTTCTTAACAAAGCTTCAGGGTGAACTAGTCGTCACAAAAGTCCACTTTATTCTGGAGTCATGAGTACTGAGAGCAGACCCACGGCGCCAGCTGTTCAGAAACTTTGTGTCCTGTATACTATATAGTACCACTCCAGACAGTATTGTGTATATGGAGTGGTCAGCTCAGTCTCATTTTCAAGGCCATAAAACACAAGATAACAGCCTAGTAGGTTTATTTTCTGTTAGTATTGTGACACTTTATTTTATTTCAGTTGCCTTATCTGTAATACCTTTATTATTTATTTATCTTTCTTACAGGAGAGGTAGGCATTTGTATTGGGCATGGAATAACACATAACATGCTGCTGCAGTCTGATCTCATTGCTCTTTCTGGCTTCTGTAGCTGCTGCCTTTTTGGATTGAGGCACCTAAGTGGGGCAGTCCATAAAAATCTGCAATTGTGTCTTTAATCTACAGTATCTATCATGCAGGTGAAAACAGTTTTAGTCAGGGATAATTGACTTGTCTTCTGAATACTGATTTGAAAATGATGGTGAATAATAGCCTTTGAGAAACTTGTAAAAATCAAATTTTATCTGAAAATAAATAACGTAAAATTTAAAAAATCATATTGTAATTTTAACCTTTTTTTGCCCTATCATTTGATTAGGAGAAAAGAAATGGGTCGCTCCAATTCTAGATCACATTCTTCAAGGTCAAAGTCTAGATCACAGTCTAGTTCTCGATCAAGATCAAGATCTCATTCTAGAAAGAAGCGATACAGGTGATTTAATGTGCTTTAAATTTTTAAAATGATGATATCAGTTATTATTTGTTGAATGCGTATCTTAAACACAGTGCTAAACCCCAAAATGTATTTTATTCTCTAAGAACTCTGTGAAATGGATCTGTTGTTACCCTTATTGTAAGCGAGAAATTGAGAATGTTCAACTAACAAGCTCTAGTATGGCAGAGCTTGGATTGAAATCCAGTTAGTCTGACTCCAGGTCTCAAATTTTACTATATAATATATGGTAGGTTTCTTTGTATTTGTCCACAATGTTAAGAGATGAATTGGGTAATGCAAGAATTTGACAGTGAAAAATCTGTGCGTATTGTTTTATAGTTTCTCATTTCCGACTTTGATTCTTTGAATTCTAACAAAATAATTCTTTTTGTTAAAAAATTAACAATTCTGGTTATTTTTCTTTAAATAGTAATACATACTTAGCATAGAAAACACAAACCAGAAGTTGAAAATACAAATGACCATAATCCCATTAAGAATTAATAGTAGTTGATGATTATTCTTTTTTCCCCCCCAGGCTTAACTTTATTTTATGTATATATTTAATTAATAGTATCTCACTGATACAGTTTTGTGTAATCTTTTCCCCCATTTAACTGTATATTATGTCATCCCATTAAATATTCTTTCACAATTATCAGTTTAAGTGCTTGCCTAGATGTACTACAATTTGCTAATATGTCCTAATGTGTGTGATATATATATAACACACGCACGTGTGTGTGTGTGTGTGTTTTGTGCCTTTATTTTTAAGGTCTTTAATGTATTCTCTCAGTATTTACCTTAGGCTTTTTGATTAGAAACTATAAACTTTTGTACAGATGAGGTTTTTTAAAAAAGTCTATTTTTATCTTTACCATTTATTTACATGTTATTTTCAACCAGAGTATTTAGAATGGTAAGATGGAATGCTTTATTTTTCTTGCATTGATATTTATTTCATTTTTAGTTCTAGGTCTCGTTCCAGAACATATTCAAGGTCTCGTAGTAGAGATCGTATGTATTCTAGAGATTATCGTCGTGATTACAGAAATAATAGAGGAATGAGACGACCTTACGGGTACAGAGGAAGGGGTAGAGGGTATTATCAAGGAGGAGGAGGTAGATATCATCGAGGTGGTTATAGACCTGTCTGGAATAGAAGGCACTCTAGGAGTCCTAGACGAGGTCGTTCACGTTCCAGGAGTCCAAAAAGAAGATCCGTTTCTTCTCAAAGATCCAGAAGCAGATCTCGCCGGTCATATAGATCTTCTAGGTCTCCAAGATCATCCTCTTCTCGTTCTTCATCCCCATATAGCAAATCTCCTGTTTCTAAAAGACGAGGGTCTCAGGAAAAACAAACCAAAAAAGCTGAAGGGGAACCCCAAGAAGAGAGTCCGTTGAAAAGTAAATCACAGGAGGAACCGAAAGATACATTTGAACATGACCCATCTGAATCTATCGATGAATTTAATAAGTCATCAGCCACATCCGGTGATATTTGGCCTGGCCTTTCAGCTTATGATAATAGTCCTAGATCACCCCATAGTCCTTCACCTATTGCTACACCACCTAGTCAGAGTTCATCTTGCTCTGATGCTCCCATGCTCAGTACAGTTCACTCTGCAAAAAATACTCCTTCTCAGCATTCACATTCCATTCAGCATAGTCCTGAAAGGTCTGGGTCTGGTTCTGTTGGAAATGGATCTAGTCGATACAGTCCCTCTCAGAATAGTCCAATTCATCACATACCTTCACGAAGAAGTCCTGCAAAGACAATCACACCACAGAATGCTCCAAGAGATGAGTCTAGGGGCCGTTCCTCATTTTATCCTGATGGTGGAGATCAGGAAACTGCAAAGACTGGGAAGTTCTTAAAAAGGTAAAAACTAAAATACAGAATCTACAGTATAATATTGTTTTTGTTCTTTGAATTCTATTTGGAATTAAAAGACGTAAATTTGTGATACATGTTTAACTAGCGGTTTTTACTCTTGACTTCCTTCATTTTAAGATAATTCCAAATTGTTTTTACTTTTATCTGGTGAACTTTGGAAGCTAAGTGTTTTAATAAAAATTAATGTATCCAGCTACTCAGGAGGCTGAGGCGGGAGGATCTCTTGAGCCCAGGAGTTCAAGGCTTTGGTGAGCTATGATTGTGCCTACTGCACTCCAGCCTGGGCAACAGAGCAAGACCCTGTCTCTTTAAAAAGAAAAAAAAAAAACCACTAATTTCTGTTTCTCCTCTTAATTTTACCATTTTCGGTCCAGAATTAAAAATACAGATGAGGAGAAGTTGAGTAGCTTAGAGCATAACTAAATGATATATGTTGTTAATAACTGTAAATCTTTTAGAAATTTAGTTTATTAAAGCATTGGAGGCTTATTTTGTTCTTTTCATTATTAGAATGTGACCTACATAAATAATGCAGCTATATTGCATGTTCTTAGGTGTCATAAACAGTCTGGCTGTCAATATTTAATGATTTCAGCCTGACTATACAAAAGGTAATGGTATTTCTCACTGACTAATGACGTTTGAAACAGATAACATTGTTTAAATTCTGATCTCAAGTGTTGCTGAAAGTTGCTAACAATGAAAATTGGTTGCTTCATATATTGTGATTTGACTTAAAAGTGAGAAAATAGAGGAAACATGCTGTTTGTGGAATACCACTGCACAACCTAGAATTTATGATTGAGCTGATCATTAGTTTCTATGAAACAGTGCCAGAAATCATTATTTTTGTAGAGCAAGTAGATATGAACTGTTTTGTGATGCTCATAAAGAGTATTACTGGAATGGTATTTAAATCCATTTGTGTGAACTCTTGTTTATATTAATAGATAAGTAAGTGAAACAGTCTGAATTTTGGGGGGTAGTTATCAATAGAATTCTAACATAATGTGTATTATCCTTAGTGGTTCTTAGCTTCAAAAATTAAATTCAGGCAATCTCTAGAAGTTCATGATAGTGCAGAATTGTGGATTGTGACTAAATAGGACAGGTTTTTGGTTGGCTTTACTTTTTAAACTTCAGAAGTCAAATGTAAATTTATTTTAAAAGTTAGTACATAAGTTCTATATGGATACTTTCAATGATTTTTAAAAGTGGGATCTGAAAAAGCACTTTTCAATAGGGTTTTTTCTCTCTTGCTGGTCCTGAGGGATTGGGCAACACATTTAAATATGGAAGCGATCTACAGTGAATGCAATCCAGAGTTACTATCCTCTTCTTTGCTTATTCGCAGGTTCACAGATGAAGAGTCTAGAGTATTCCTGCTTGATAGGGGTAATACCAGGGATAAAGAGGCTTCAAAAGAGAAAGGATCAGAGAAAGGGAGGGCAGAGGGAGAATGGGAAGATCAGGAAGCTCTAGATTACTTCAGTGATAAAGAGTCTGGAAAACAAAAGTTTAATGATTCAGAAGGGGATGACACAGAGGAGACAGAGGATTATAGACAGTTCAGGAAGTCAGTCCTCGCAGATCAGGGTAAAAGTTTTGCTACTGCATCTCACCGGAATACTGAGGAGGAAGGACTCAAGTACAAGTCCAAAGTTTCACTGAAAGGCAATAGAGAAAGTGATGGATTTAGAGAAGAAAAAAATTATAAACTTAAAGAGACTGGATATGTAGTGGAAAGGCCTAGCACTACAAAAGATAAGCACAAAGAAGAAGACAAAAATTCTGAAAGAATAACAGTAAAGAAAGAAACTCAGTCACCTGAGCAGGTAAAGTCTGAAAAGCTCAAAGACCTCTTTGATTACAGTCCCCCTCTACACAAGAATCTGGATGCACGAGAAAAATCTACCTTCAGAGAGGAAAGCCCACTTAGGATCAAAATGATAGCGAGTGATTCTCATCGTCCTGAAGTCAAACTCAAAATGGCACCTGTTCCTCTTGATGATTCTAACAGGTAATTCCATATTGATCCCCAGTAAATAATCTGTGGGTAGTTAATATTCCAGTTAATTATCTTAAACTTTCTGAACATACCATTTTTTTATTTAAACCAATGGTATATTTTGTGTGTGTGTGTTATCAATATGTTCCAGACCTGCTTCCTTGACTAAAGACAGGCTGCTTGCTAGTACACTTGTCCATTCTGTCAAGAAGGAGCAAGAGTTCCGATCCATCTTTGACCACATTAAGTTGCCACAGGCCAGCAAAAGCACTTCAGAGTCATTTATTCAACACATTGTGTCCTTGGTTCATCATGTTAAAGGTATGCTTAGTATGTTTAGTATTGTGAATTAAATTTCTCTTGCATGCAAATAAAAAAATGAGTAATTATGCTTAATAATTCATGTACCCCAGGGCTAGCAAATACACATCAATGCTATTAAAACTTGGAAAAGTAGTTTCATGGAAGAGTCCCTAGTCTTGATAGCATTGAAACTTAGGAAGATAGTTAATAAAAAGTGATTGAAATGCTGGAGAAACCATACCCTAAAAATCTGTATCATGATAGAACATGATGTAGATTTGTTGAATGCTAAAAGTGTTTTTTAAGTATGTCATTGTAGTGTATTTGTAGTGCAGAAGGCTTACAGATAGTCTTTCATTGCATGCCTATGGCTTGTGATAGTAAATCTTGGCATAGATTTATAACAAAGTCAGACAGGATTATTGAATATTATTTACTAGGAATTTCTTTTCAACTTTTAAAGAAATAAAAAGTGGAAAAACTTTCTTTTTTGCGCTTAATTTTTAATATATAAACTTAAAATGATAAAACAAAATTTATCAGGATTTTTAGAGGCAAAACGTTCAAGAAATTTAGAAGAATATTATATAAATACTGGCTACATGAATAGTCACTACTTAGGATAATGATGACACTTCTTTAGGTCCTAAAGATAAGGGTGTTTATTTCAACTAAAGTAATGATTTTTTTTTTTTTTTAATTTTTACCAGTATGTAATTATAGTTGCAAAGTTACTAGTAATTTTCAAAGATTTTTAGGTATCTCTTTTGGGTTAGGTTAAGTTTTGTTTTTGTGTTTAAAAAGCAACTTACTATGAGACATGTTCTTTCCCAGGAACTTCAAAGACTGTTGTCCTTTAAAATTAATCCCCTCCTAGCTTTTCAAAAATTTGTCTTTTGACATGAGAACAGCTCACTGTAATAGATGAAACTTGGCTCTAGCAGTTCTTTATGCAGTTGATATATCAGAACAGTGAACCAGTTAAATGAATTTCTTTTGGGCTGTAATTAATTAAACACGGTAACAAGACAGTTTTGCTATTTGGCTCTAAGTAGGTTTGTGAACCAGTTTATGACCATATTACTGTGGTACATAAAATATGAAACATTCTTTTTTTAAATTTTTTAATCTTTTTTGGCCTATCTCCACATTTTACAATTTATTGCTGAATTTTGAGATCAGGTTTTGATAAATTTTTTCCTTTTTCTTTTTTCTTTTTTTTTTTAAAAAAAAAGAACTGTAGTGATGTTTCATAATTGGTATTGTGCAACCGATCTGAACAGCTCTTACTTTATATAGAGCTGAAAATGCCCAGTGATGTTTTCTTTTTCATTGTAACTAGGTCCTGGAATATGTTTTGAAATGGCAAAATCCATGTTTCAAAGTAAAATAGCTGTTGAAAGATACAGGCAAAGTTGAATCTTCTGTCTTCCTGGCAAAAATGGCATAAAAACTGAGTTGCTAGCTCAAATTCCTGGGTTTCATGGAATTATGATTGAGGCACTACCCTTGTAGTGGCCGTTTCAAGTTTTAATGATTGGTTATGAGACATGTGCTGGATATTGGGCGGTAAGTTGACACAGATGTATGTTGACCTGTTAAGCAGATAGCTTGCTTCATAATGTGACATTTCATAGCTCATGACTTTATACGTCTTTCTATTTTACATTTACAACATATCTTTAACTGGTTTTTAAAATAATCAGTATTGATATTACTAGTTTGAAAATTGTTTAAAGAGAGACAAAACAGCAATATCAAATGTGCTGTTGGGTTTGCCAAGATGCCAGATTTTTGGATAATTATTGAATGTTAGTTGATTTAAAAATATTTTTCCAATTTCAATGATAGTACTCAGTGTTTTTATAAATCCATTTTTGTTGATATGGCAGCATAGTCACTGATGAAATTTAATAGTTTACTCAAACTAGCTTTTTGGTTAACTCCATATTTTCCTGTTAATTTTTGTTTTCTGCAAATGATTACTTGAAGTAACGTCATTGGTTCATATTGGCAAGGTATTAGAACATCCATAGATTGTGTTCCTTTTTATTCTGAGGAAGTAGTGTATTAATGAAATAGAATTAGAGACTCTTGATTTAATCTATTAATTGCTCTTGGATTAGATGTAGTATTGACAGGGACCTGTGAGCAACTTTCGAAGCACTTTCCTGTTGAGGTACAAGAAATTGAAAGGGTAGGAGTTCCTTGTAACACTTGATTCTCTTTTGCTAGGTTTCTTGAGTATTTTTATTTTCTTTTCACCTGCTACATGCCCTTCTGTCACAAACAAATCTCTCTTAAAGTAAACTAAACTAATTGGACAGTATTTCTTCTAAATCAACAGAGCAATACTTCAAGTCAGCTGCAATGACCCTAAACGAGCGGTTCACTTCGTATCAGAAAGCCACTGAAGAACATAGTACTCGGCAAAAGAGCCCTGAAATACACAGGTATGTATCCTGCTGAATTGACATATAAAAACGTTGTTTTGGTAGGAAGACTCTGTTAAAACAATATTGTATTGGAAGTTTGCTTTTGTCATTGATACAAATTTGGTTTTATTCCTCATTTATGCTTTAAATATATTTCTAAGTCTTGAAAATTCTATAATTCTCAATTTTCAGCTTAGTTGAAACTGGTTGTTAGAACTTGAAATATTAACTCTTACTTCTCTGCAGTATGGAATTAAATAGTTATCAGTTAGTCTGGTTTTTGGGAGGGGCAGTGAAGGCCTAGAGTAACCTTTGAATTTCTAGTAAGTTTGTGAAATAAAAAATGTTCCATGAGAGAGAGAGAACAAAAGCATGAGCACTGAAGTCAGATAGTTGTGTTGAAATCCTGCCTGTGTCTCTTCATTGCATTGTGATGAACAACTTAATCCCTGGACATCAGTTTTTTCATATATGAAATGTGGATAATCATGCCCATTTTGCAGGGTGGCAGTGACAGTGATACTGGCTATGAAGTATCTGACTTGGTACTTCATACACAGTTGGTGTGGTTTTAGTGATGACTGCTAAAGCAGCACTGGGTAGTTGCAACCAATACTGACTTAAAAAGGAAAGGTGCAGAATAAAACCAAAGGGGCACTGAATATCTAAAAATATTGAAGACAGGAGCAAATAATCCTATTCATGTGTGTTTGTTGATGTTTAAAATGATACCCAGTTAAAATACATTTTTTCTATTTTTGGTCAATAAGTTGGATGTTTTAAAGGCCAGACTTCTATATAAAAATATCTGGTTGGAGCATTTTAATTCATTCTTCGTGGATATTTTTTCTTAATTATGTATTAGTAAATTAATAGTCTTGGTGTGCTCAGTTAGTTGATTGGGAGAGAAATAACTGTCTTAGGAAAATGGATAATCGTGTGGATGTTTTCAAACCAAAAAGTTAGTAATATGACTAAAAATATACTTTATTTTACATTAAGGAGAATTGACATCTCACCAAGTACCTTGAGGAAGCATACCCGTTTAGCAGGGGAAGAGAGAGTTTTTAAAGAAGAAAATCAGAAGGTATGTTTTTGAATGTAATTTTTTTCATGTTAAGTTCAGCTTAGTTAATGATATTTTACCAAATATAGTTTCTCAAGGTAAAATGTCTATAGATATCTTCTACTTTTAATTCATAACTACATCATGGTAGTATGCATACTGTTCCTTCCTGGAAGAAATTAAGCTGACACTATGCTATCTTAAATTTAAACCAGGAGTATTTTTTCAAAACGCTAATGAAAGGAAAAAAAATAGTCCTAAGAAAAGCATAAAGAATCAGTGGGTAGACAAAGGAAAATTATAAAATCAAAGATACAAATTAGAATTTTGAGATGAGATTCATTAGCGAGAGTAAATATTTCTCGATTTGTGTGTCTAAATTTAATATCTCTAGGTTCTTCACAGATAACAAGAAGTAATCCCCATGCTACTGGGCATTTTTGATGTGGATTAAGAAATAAGCATTCTAAGTACTGATTTACAAAAAACGTTTGGAGCAAAGACTGTTACCACTCTTGGAATATTTGGGGAATGGGGGAATGTCTTTTAAACATGAGAAAGGAGCCTGTGAAAGACATTGAGGGGTCTTGGTGAGAATGGAATTCAGTGGTTAAGGGGTCTCCAATATACTCTGACAATTCAAAATGACCTTTGCCAGGTAGACTAATCTATATCAGGCCATAAAATGTCTAGTAGTAGAAATGTGGGGAAAGATAGGGAACAACTGTTTTGAAGAGATTAGGGGACTTGGAAGTACTGCTTGATTCCAATTCTGGCTGTCACTAAGTACTATCTACATGATAATTGGAAAATAACCTCTTGAACTTTGCTTTTCTAATTAGAAAAACGAGAATGCTTCTGTTTTGCAGAGTTGTTGAATAATTGGGTTATTTTGAAAACAGGCACATTTGTTACTAGAAGCTATTATGGACAGTGGTAGTGTACAAGTTTAATAGGGCATGCTATTACTAGATGTGGAATCTAGAGCTTACAAATAAGGTGTTTTTTTTGTTTTGTTTTGTTTTGCATGGGGTGTATTGATCTTGAAGGAACAGATTCTGAGAAGTGAATGCTTTTTTTGGTTTTTAACTTAAATAACACCTTGGGTTCAAAGTTGTTAATTTAGTTTTCCCAACAGTTTAGTCTGTCCTCATGCTCTGACAGTGAGTATCTTCTCTCCTCATTACTTAGACCAGATTTTGATCCAGAGGAGAAAAAGTAGAGATAACTGATGAATAGATAAGAGGATATGCCATTGGTTTTTATCTTCCTGTCTGGATGAATAACATGTTAATATGTAATTATGTATATATAGTTTGTAATTTGCAAAGTGGTTTCACTTATATTATCTTGTTACTTGTGGACTTGGTAATACCTAGGTGAATAGGAAGGATTTTTTGCTCTTGATTAGATTTTTTTCTTTGTGACTTTGGGAGCAAATAGGTGAGTAGTTGATACCATTTGGAGATACGTACTTTCAGTTTTATGAATGCTTATGAATATTATAGCCAGACTTCCCAGAGTAAATACTACTTATTGTTGAATACTAGCAAGGATGTCCACATTGCTTAGCATCTTACTGATGTATAATTTCTCTTCATTCCTAGATGCCTCTTTCCATCTTCCTAAATTATATAGTATTTGAAAAAGCAATGGAACAAGAAGGAGGTGAATTGTGACCCAGTTAAACTAATGTCCGTTGCAATACCTGAATTGAGAAAGGGCAGTATATGGCCCAAGATACTGAGTACAGGATTGCGAATATCTTTCTGGCTTTGTTTCTACCCTTGTTCAACCTCAATTGGTTTCATTAATCATATTTTACGTGCATGTTATGGAAATTATAGAATTCTTTTGAAGTTTTTTTTTTATTGGGTTGGTCAGATTATTTGGGAAGAGCTTGATCATAATGAGGCTTAAGTAATGAGAACCATTATGTTAGGATCTCTCTTTTTTAGGTAGAAGGCTACATCACAACTACAGATTATAACATCTGTATTCAACTATTGAAAACAGCATTTGGAAGGATGAGGGATAATAGGATATGCTGAGTGGAAAAAATATTTGTATCATTTACTGTACAAAAATTTATTATAGATTGTTTTGGATAAAAACCTGCAAAATTCTCAAGATACTTAGCTTTTAATAATTTCCCCAGTTCCACTGCACTTTGTATACCCAAATGTTTAGTAAAAATAATCAAATACTTTTTAACAAAAACTAAGTTGATAGTATCTTATATGATTCATTATTTTCTGATACTAAAATGCCAGTTTAGAAGCTGGCATAAAATTTAACTCTGTAATATGTGTATATATATTTTTTCTATTTCTCCCCTGAAATCTGTATTTTACGTCTGTCTTTTATAGGGAGATAAAAAATTAAGGTGTGACTCTGCTGACCTTCGGCATGACATTGATCGCCGTAGAAAAGAAAGAAGTAAAGAACGGGGAGATTCCAAGGGCTCCAGGGAATCCAGTGGATCAAGAAAGCAGGAAAAAACTCCAAAAGATTACAAGGAATACAAATCTTACAAAGATGACAGGTAATTGTTCAAACTGACTAAGATAGGTTTTAGCTTCTAATTAGCCTTTAATAATTGTCAGCTTAATTGCTTTCAATTTTGACTGTGTAATCGAATGTTTAAATTTAAACAATTAAAATTATTTGTTTTACAGCAAAAATGTATTTGTCTTTTACACGGCTTATGGTGGATGAGGACAAAAACTTTGGAATAGCAAGCTAACACTGAAAAAAAAAATGACAAATTAATGTGTCCTATTATCCAGGCTACATCAGGAGGTTGGACTTCAATGCAGTGCATTTCTAGAAACAGTTTGTGTAAGAACTTTGGTTCGTTATGCTTGATTCCGCACTTTTTCAACTCATAACACCCAGAGTACAAGAATTTTAAACTGATATCTAGTGGTTTAACATGGGAGAGATGGGGGGGAGGAAGGACTAGAAATAGCAATGTGTATTAGTCTTTCAAAATAATATTTCCATGGAAACTGTTAGCAGTGGTAAGAGTTAACCACAGGTATGACCTTTTCGGGTGTTGCATTAAATCATGTAAATTTGATCATCATAGAGGCAAATAGGAACACAAAGTATTATAGATAATCTTTTTCCTTGCTATTCATTAGGTAAATGGTGGATTTTATTTGTGTTATTAAATTTATGGCTGTTATTTGTAATGTCATATGCTTTTTATTTGCTATAATGGTACTATAGCCCAAACTATACCAACTATTTTCACCCAGAGTGTACAAACTGCAGTCATTTTGAAACTTGGCCTTAAGAACATCCTTACTTTTTCCTACTCTTCTCTTCCTTTCGTTAAAGTAATAAAAGATATAAGTTAATTTAAAAATACTAAAGAACTGAACCTTATTCTTGACCTTTACAGACTACTATTTTCTAACTGGCAGGCCCTAGCATGTTTTTCATTATTGATGTAAAACACATATTGAAGGAGAATGGAAACAGATTGTGTCAAAATTTAACACCCAATTATTTTATTTACATAATTTTATTAGGGGATAGTGTTTTTGACTTGAAAAATATCTCTTCTATTGTAAGATTCAGCAGGGTCTTTATCTTTTTAAAAGTAGCACATTTTTTGTTTTCTTTATTTTGCAGTAAACATAAAAGTAGAGAGCAAGATCATTCTCGATCTTCATCCTCTTCAGCATCACCTTCTTCTCCCAGTTCTCGAGAAGAAAAGGAGAGTAAGAAGGAAAGAGAAGAAGAATTTAAAACTCACCATGAAATGAAAGAATACTCAGGCTTTGCAGGAGTTAGCCGACCACGAGGAACCTTTGTAAGTGAAAAAATTATCTTTGATTGTTTGGTAGGAGTTTATCTTAGAGTAATGTACATAAGGAAGGTCATATACATGACTTAGAGATGTTATGTGTGTCATTATTCCTAAAGTCAGAGGTAGTATTGAAACATGAAGTGGTGTTTGAAGTGCTGTCTTCATTTAGAAATGCCATTTTGAGATCTAGAAGCATCTGTATAAACTAGGTGCTTTTCTTGACTTCGAGATCAATAACTGTACCTAGTCCTTAAAGACCAAGAGTCAAGGAAAGTTACTGATTGGTAATAACATTTCTTTAATCACTTAGTTTTTGAAAAAGTACCTTAACGCCTTAATAAAACCCCTGTATGTTCATCTCTGTATTACAGTTACATTCATTTTGCCTGCTTTCTTCAAATCCTTGCTTATATGGGTATCAATCATAGAAATCAGAAATATTTCATATAGCGTATACATTATCCCCATGTTTCCGTAAGTCGTTATAATTATTAATATAATGACTTTATGGTAGTGCATCTTCTTGCCTCTTTAATTTCTAGATTCACACTCCTACCTTGAGCGAGTATCTAGTTGGGTTTTGGTGGAATTCTTTAATTAGATAATTTGGGAAAGAGAAGAGCTTTGCTTATGTAGTGTTAGGTATGGCTGAATACTTGGGGCTTCTATGGTAATTCAGAGAAATTAGATAACTTTTGGCTAGTAAAAAGGAAAAACAGCTTGATTATTTAAAAATATTAGTTCAGGCCGGGCGCGGTGGCTCATGCCTGTAATCCCAGCACTTTGGGAGGCCGAGGCGGGTGGATCATGAGTTCAGGAGGTCAAGACCATCCTGGCTAACACGGTGAAACCCTGTCTCTACTAAAAATACAAAAAATTAACCGGGCGTGGTGACGGGCGCCTGTAGTCCCAGCTACTCGGGAGGCTGAGGCAGGAGAATTGGCGTGAACCTGAGAGGCAGAGCTTGCAGTGAGCCGAGATTGTGCCACTGCACTCCAGACTGGGAGAAAGAGCGAGACTGTCTCAAAAAAATAAAAAAATTAGTTCAGTCCTTGAAAGTACAGTATTCTAACACTTAGGTTGATCATTTCTTCTTAACCTACTCAACTTTTAGTTGGCAGAATTTTTTGCCTATGATATAAAATGGCCATCCTTTTCATCCTCAATGGCTACGAGATTTAGATAGGAAATTAGGGCATATGTTTTTTGTTACTGCAGTAAAATTAGAGTTTGCATGTAACTAAATACCTTTTGATTGCATCACTAAACAACTTTGTTAATGTTAATCAGTTTCGAATTAGAGGCAGAGGAAGAGCCAGAGGAGTTTTTGCTGGGACAAATACTGGTCCAAACAACTCAAATACTACTTTTCAAAAGAGACCGAAGGAAGAGGAATGGGATCCAGAATATACCCCAAAGAGCAAGAAGTACTTCTTGGTGGGTGTTAGACATCTGTGTTTATTTGGTTTGCATTAATTTTCAAAGCATACTAGGTGAATACATTTGAGTACAGATAACCACTATTATAAGATGATTCACCGTTATGTGGGAAACCTTTTTTAAAATAATTACCCAGATGATTTGAAATTTTGAAAAATGTGGGTCCCTTTAGTCCTGTTCATACTTTGATACTAAACATAGGCTGATCAGGGTAAGCGAAAAATATACCTGATTTGTTACCCACATTCAGAGAAGAACATTATATTATAGTTGAGCTTAATGTGTGTTTTATATCTGTCTATAAGACAGTGACAGTTGTAGAAACTTCACATTAAGATGTACCTTCCATCATCATAGCTATTTGTTTAAATGAAAAGGAGAAGAATTTTTTCAAAGTACGTGTAATTAAGAATTTTAGGGAGGCTGTCAGCTTTCATTGGTGAAAAAAGATGATGAAAAATTACAGAAAAGTTGGTGCTAGGTAAACTAATTTGGTGCTTCCTGTGGTAGAGGTGCTTTTCCCTCTGAAATAGTTTTTCAAGGATGAAGCTAGAGGTGATAGGTCTTGAAGGATTCTCTAGATAAGGATGGGCATTTTCTGCTGTTCGGCATGGGGAAAAGGGTCCCTGCTGCATTATAGAGGTGTACAAGAATATACCAAAACTATTACCAGAAGTATTCATTTTTTTATCATGGCTTTTCAGAGAATTTATGTTTCAGAGACTAGTTCTGAAAACTAGTTGCTTCCATGGAGGAAAATTGTATTGGACTTGAAGAGTTGTTGACTTTTTCAGTTGGCTTTTTATGAATATATTTGAATAAACCTCAATGTCCATGACATACCTACTTAGAGATTATAGCTGTAGTTCGAAGTGGATCTCTGTTTTGTCTGGAAAAACAATATATTTGTTTCAAAAATATATTTCCATTTGCCTCTTTTTTGGCATGTTAATGACCAAGAACCAGAAAAAAGGTTATAGAGTGAGTTATGCATAATGTTTTCTCAGTTTATGCTTCTTGAGTGGCTTGAATTGACATTCTGGAAAGTAAAAGGCATTTGATATGTAGAAAAATGTGAAAGATCCATCTACTTCTTGGTTCAATAATTTTTGTATTAACAGACATGTTTATGGTAGGTACTAAGGATGGAAAGACAAGTAGGATTATGTTTATGCTAGGTACTAAGGATGGAAAGACAAGTAGGATGTGATTCCAATTTTTGACTTAGAGACTAGTAGTAGAGAAACAGACATTCTAAATATATATGGTGGCTTTTTGCTTTTCCCAAAGAAGGAATAGGTGGATTTTTGCAAAGGAGAGAGTGATTAGAAGAGACTTTTGTAGAGGAACTTGACCTTAATTAATCTTGAGGTTAAGAGGTAGTCAAGTGTACTGCACATAGCAGAAGGAGTGAAACAGCATGGTATGGAGAACTGTAGTATTCAGATGGCTAGATGGTTGGTATAAGTTTGGGAAAATTGAGTACAAGGAGTCACAGTGTCAAAGGTCTTAATACTTTTAAGAAAATAGAGTTTTAAGCAGAGTTTACATAAATCATGGGTGTTAAAAGTTAAGCAATTTGAGAAAATATAGTGTCTGAACTAAGGGGCTAGATTTGAGAAAAAGTAACATTTATGGGGACTTGAATTCAGGGGTGTTGGTAGTGAGAGGAAGGAATCTAAATCTATAGGAAAGAAGCTGCTTTAAAAAGATTAAGTTCTGTTCTGAGCAGGTTGAATTTGAAGTTCTTGGGAGAAATGGAGCTGTCCAGTGGATAGTTGGTAATTCAAATTTAGAGAAACAAAAAAACGTGCTGTAATTTTATAGGTCACCGTTAAAGCTGTGGTAAGATCACAGAAGAGAAGAGATAAAGACCAACGTATCAAAGGTGGGGTGAAAAGTAAGAGAGAGAGTAAAAATGCCAGAGAAGTAGACCAGCTATGATAGGTCAGGAGGTGAAGAAGGAATGAGAGGTGAACATGTAGATAGTAATTGTTTACCACTTTTAACAACTTACAAATACAAAATTTAGGCCTTTTTTTCTATGGCATTCTCTTAAGAATCTGCTATCCCTTAAAAAATACATACTCATTTTGGGTTGGCATTTAATTAGGCAGTAGTTTCATTAAGAAGAGTGTCTTATTTTAAGAATTTAGCCATATATAAGTAGCAGTAGTATTTTTATATGTTGCTTTGCTGGGTTATATTTAAAAATCTTGGTCTCTGTATAAAACCGTACACATTGATTTGCCACAGACTGATCATGTTCACTAGAATATCAAGCAAAATTACACACTGTTTCCTTATAAATCAATTCCCAAAGTTAATTATTTTGGTTTTTACTTAATTATGAGCCATTGAAATGGCAACTTTGGTTTTCACATGGATAGTTAAATTAAAAAATTTTGTATCTTACATGTAAAGGAATGTTGAGGGAAAAAAAGAAAAATACGATTCAGAAGGAAAGTCTTCTAAAACTAGACATAAAACTAGACATTCATTCCCTTAGGTTCTTTCAGAACAATTGACCAGTTTAAGAGAGTTTGCCCATTTGGATGAAACATTAATACTTAGTAATAACAGGCCAGGCACGGTGGTTCATGCCTGTAATCCCAGCACTTTGGGACACCGAGACAAGGCAGATCATGAGGTCAGGAGTTCAAGACCAGCCTGGCCAACATGTGGAAACCCTGTCTCTCCTAAAAATACAAAAATTAGCCGAGCGTGGTGGCGCGTTGCCTATAGTCCCAGCTACTCAGGAGGCTGAGGCAGGAGAATCGCTTGAACCCAAGAGGCGGAGGTTGCAGTGAGCCAAGATTGCGCCACTATACTCCAGCCTGGGAGACAGCGAGAATCTGTCTCAAAAAAACAAAACAAAGCTTAGTAATAATAGGTAACATTTATTAAGCATTATGTACCATGCTTGGTGCTGTTGTGAGTGTTCCGTACGTATTAATACTTCAAAAAGCCTTTTGAGTTGGGGCTGTTACTCCATTTTTGTGGATGGAAAAAACTGAGGTACAGAGGTTGAGTAGCTTAACCAGAGTTATGTAGCTAGTAGCAGTGGGGTCAGGACTTAACTCATTGGGCTCCAGAGTCAGGGTTCTGAAAGGTCTTGTTTGTACTATTTGTTGTCCAATACTGAGTTATAGTAATCTTTGTTGCATTCTTTTCTGAAATTTCCTATCTCTAAGATTTGTTTTATGCAAAGGTGTGATAATGTTTTCAATAATAAAAATTCCAGGAAAGATACTAGTTTTAGTTAGAACCTGAAATTCTATGGAGTGATGAGTGTGAAGAGTTGGAGCAAGTGGGAAAGTACTGAAGGTTCTCAGTGTTGAGTTGCTGCCTTCAAAGGAAGAGAAAATCCCTGGTGGGGAAGGGGGTTCAGGATTGGAGTTTTGGTAATTAACTGTTCGAAACTTGATCCTTGTATAGAGAAGAGAGAAGATGATTCAGAAGGTCTTGGTTCTAATACAGACTCCTTTGTTAACATGTTCTTAGCTGTGTATAAATATCTAACTTCTGGCCCATCTTAATCTGAGATAATTAAAATTTAAAAATTTTAATGAGATTGAAATCTTCGATATAAAACTTGAGTATTAAGAATATGTTTAGCATCAAAAATCTCAATTAAGTAGCTGCCAGGATACCCTACGAAAGACACAGTTATTGTTTAGGTGCTGTTGTGTTTGCCAAGTTTCAGATGATTGTATATTAAAAGCAATGGCTAGTTTAACCCCAGTGTTTAGCTTTGCCATTGGCTTTTCTGTTTCTGCTAACTCTTAACTACCTGGTGTGGTAATCATATATTGCCACCAGGGTATCTGGGAAATGTGTTTTATGGGTGATGGTCACAAGGGGTAGAAGTAAGGGCTAGCTCTGTGACCTTGGGCAAGTTACTTAATTTCTTTGTGCCTCAGTTTCTTTATTTCTAAAATGGGAATAGTAACAGTATTTTAGAGGGTTGTTGTGAGGATTAGATGAATAAGTACATGTAAAGTGTTCAGAACAGGGCCAGACCCATATTACACACTATAGAAACATTATTGCCACCGTTTGTTGAGTGCTTGCTTGTCAGACACCGGGCCAGGCACTTTCTACTGATCTGTGTTCCCTCAAGGAACATATTATTAAAATGAAGTAAATTCTAGAGAGGTTGCCCAAAGTCACACAGTTTGTGGTGATTTAAATCCGTGCTTCTACTCCAAAACCTCTTCCCAGAATCCATGGCGTATTGTGTAAATATCATAAAAAAACTCTCAAGAGTTGGGTATGTTAATGTGATAAGGGAGCATGAAATTATGTAGTCAAGTGGGCATTATTTTTAGTGGCAGGCTGTTTTAAAGTAGTTTATTTTGGGTTTGCAATAAACTGCTGTATTTAAATTTACACTTTTGATAGTTCCAAGATTCATTATAGAGTCATGTACACCTCTACCTAGTAATCTTTGAATGGTTTGATAAAGATAGATTATTAGCAGTTGGTAAGTTCTCTTTCATATAGCCTGTTAGTTACCCATATAATTGAACTTTTCAAGTCATGAAGGGGGTTAATCAGTTAAATGAATATGTCCAAAGGCAAAGTCTTCTGTTTTGGGGAAAAAAAACTCATATCACATATTACGTAAAAAAAGTTTTAGTGGCTTTTGGATGATTGCTCACTACTAGTACTCTATAGATTACACAACATTTTGTTTGCATTATACCGCTTTTCTCATACAGGGGCATTTTGCTTTATTTCTCATTTTTGTGGGTGACAAAGTAAGTTAGCAGTTAATTAAATTACACACAGGACTCCCTTGGCCTTTTGTATGAATATAATACCCATCTCTACTCATCTACAAAGTCTAGTACTTTTCAGTTTTGCAGATTGTTTTGCTTAATAGAACAATTCATAATTTAGGGAACATCTGTATTTGAATATAATTAATAATTAAAGCTGGGATGTGATAACTGCAGTACTTTAGATTGATGAAGAAGAACTGAGTGAGGTGTTAATTCTAGGGACCATGTCATGATTTACCGTTGAAATTCTCTAACCCAGAACATTGATATGTACTATACATTGATCTAGATTTCAATCTCAGTATATTTAAAATCTACTTTTACATGTAAAGTATAAAATTCATACCACCAGTTTCATTTTGGTGAACGTTAGTGATATTTTTATGACTTTCTGCTGCATCTTTATGACTAACATGGTTAGAAATAACCAGAAAAACTGGTTATTTTATCTCATTGCATTTGGTGTAATAAGTGGGCTTGGATTGACATAATACGAAAACAAAACTGAGAATTCTAAAAATCAGTGGTAATTTAGCAGTTGAGATTCTCCAAATGATTGGGTAACCCTCAGTGCTTGGGTTGCTAAGTAGTAAGATGTTATTCTCTTGACGATGGAATATATTTTTGTTGAAAAATGCAGTTTTACTGGTTTTGTTTTAGAATATTACCAATCTCATATATCCAATCTTCAGAAGATTAATACTGTGGTTTATGATTGGAGAAATGATCTTTACAAGAAACATTTCATTGACAATTGTTTTTAACCTTTCTGTAGCATGACGACAGAGATGATGGTGTGGATTATTGGGCCAAAAGAGGAAGAGGTCGTGGTACTTTTCAACGTGGCAGAGGGCGCTTTAACTTCAAAAAATCAGGTAGCAGTCCTAAATGGACTCATGACAAATACCAAGGGGATGGGATTGTTGAAGATGAAGAAGAGACCATGGAAAATAATGAAGAAAAGAAGGACAGACGCAAGGAGGAAAAGGTATAAAATTTCACCTTGTGATTCTGACAGATTTTTTTTGATACAGGTTTGGTGGGTGAATTAGTTATTTCATTTTTAGGAACAATTATTAATATGGTTCCTTTTCACTCTCCACATCTTGTGTTAATCTTTAATTTTTTCTCTCTCTCTTTTAGGAATAATAAATAATGAAGTAAGATTACAGCAGAGCAGAACTTGCACCCACCATTTTTTACCTGATTTTTGTTTTCAAATAAGAATGTAAGCATTTTACTTAAATTTTACTGTTTGCAAGTAGTCTATAGAAATTTTGTTTTAAGTTTTCAAATATCTTGAGAAATAGTAGACTGTATGTTGAAAATTGTACTGAAATAAAGTAGAAAATTGTTACGTACCATATTTGTAACTATCAACTTTTAAAAAAAACTTTTAACGTTTTTGTTACATGCATTGTAATTCTGCTTTGTCTATAAGATACGGTCAAGTACAGCTCTGTGAAAGTTCTGATTCTCTTCCTTCCCTGTTTGTCAATGTTTTATTCTGAAGTAAACGTTAGCTCTACATATAAATCCTGGAACAGAAATTGTTTATAGAGATTACACTAATTATTTTAACTGTATACATCTGTTTAATTTGAACACACTACATTGTAGGGTGACTAATTTTTGAAGTATACCACAGACAAAAGGTTGTTACTTTGGTAAACTAAGCTAGTTTAACACTTGAGCAAATGCTTAAGAAGGAGTAAAAAAAAAAAAAAAAGCTTTGCCAATAGCTAAAAAGTACAAGCTATTAAAAATTAGACTGAAAAGTTTTGAGAAAATGTTATTTTTACTGAAAGCAAGCAGTGGCCTATAAAGAACATTCTTAGGAGCCTTTTCTATTTGCGTTCAAAACCGAGTGTTCTCTTTCTATTCCTATTTGATAGTTTGAGTCATGGTCTTAGATATTAGCTATTTGTGAGAGGAAATTGGTTTGTAATAATACTGCAAATAGAAACCCCATTTCTACTGAACATCCTAGTTTTAAACAGAAGAAAAACTGTAATCCTGGGGTTGGTATGGAGGAGGTTTATCCTGCAGAATAAGTTGATACATTAGTACCTGATTTCATATCTTACATATTTATTTGAGCTGAACATTAGTTTGTAGTGTAACTATTAGTAAAAATAGAGAAACACAACATACTGTTCATTAATAGTATTTTAAGAAAATTGTTTTTCAAATGTCACCAATAAAAGTTTTGGCAGGAAGCTTGTTGCCGCATTGATCTAACTTGTTTCCCCCCCGCCCCGACCTCCCCCCTTTTCAGTTGCAGTTTGTAAAATGGCTTTTTCTTTTTTCTCTTAAGGGTTCTATTCTTCAGGTAGATAATTTTTCAAATGTGAATTATCTTTTGTGTCTATATATTGATAGCTCTTAAAGGAGTGAAAAATCTAAAATATTAAATTTCAATGTTAAGTCTATCTGCTTTATGGGCATATATAAAAGTAGACACATTTCATTTGTTAATTTAGTTGTGTGTGTTAAAAGGAGCTAATGCTTATTCTGTTAATGTAAACTTTTGAAGATCTTAAGTGTATTGCTCTTTCATCTTAAAACATTTTGGAGGATTTGCAATGCGTCTAGCACCTCGATTACAGCCAGGGACGTTGGTTAAGAGCTGTTGGAAACAAAACTAAAAGCAAACTCAACATATGTGATGTTTATGGCCCTCAGATCCTTAGTATTGTGTGATTTTTTTTTTTCCCCCCTTACCATGTCTTTCTGAAATTGTCTATTAAAGCAGAGGAAATACCTGCCAAAGGAAGTATGTATTGCATTAATCAGGACATAACTGATATTTTCCTGTTCAGAATAATACGTGTGAAAGCAACATGGATGTGATCCCCAACACAGAATTTTCATGACCCTTTTATTGTATACAAATAAATACATAACAGTTACTTGGTTAGACATCAAATCTGTGTGCATGACTATGTGCTTATCCACTTAAGACAATAGATAAAAGGGGATTTGAGAAATTATTTAATAGGGAGTGGAAATAAAGCTACTTAATTCCTGTGGGCAGGTTATATTTTAAGTTCAAATGCACTGCTTTAACCTTTGGTTACTTTTATTCTATTAAACAAAATTGAGGAAAGAGTGTTATACCAGAATATAGTAGGCTAGGGTGATGGTAAGAACTCTGTAATAGAATGTCATTATGGATGTCATCTTTTTCAGATCAAGCATATAAAAAGTAGCCTGTATATTTTTTTAAAACACATCTTAACTCCACACTTTACGACATTATAAAAGTTGAATGGTTCCTGTTGGCAAGGATGTTTGCTTACAAATGCTAGGAAATAACTCATTGATACCTGCGTTAACATATTTTGCCTAGAGAAGGGCAATAAAAACTGAACCAAAGGATATTTCCAGAAAGGATTAAGAAAGCTGTTTAAGAAGGCCATGACTCTTTAGGTGTGTATGTGTACCTTTCAGCATCCTAGGAATTTTTATATTAAAAGCAAAACGTTTTTCCAATTACAGTCTACTTCAAGGAATTACTATTCTTCCTTTTGTCACAGGTAAAATCAGTGTCGGGAATTATAATTTGAGAAAAATATTACCCAGTAAGTAACATTGAATGTAGATGGCTAAACGATTCTTACTCAGTGTGATGTATAATGCAACAGGGACCCTTGTAAATTGTCATACGCCAATAAAATGTCACAAGTAATAACCGCTGTTGTTTGTTTACCTGTGTCTGTTTCACACAACTTATTTCTATGACCTATTTTAGAATACTAGCCCATCTGTTAGGAAGATTACTGGTGTGGTAAGGCTTGATAAATGCTTTATAAAATCCCTCAAACCTCTCTGTACTGTTTTTGTGTTTTGTTTTGTTTTTGTTTTTGTTTCCCTTGTCTCCCCTGGGAAAGTGGGAAATTTTACAGTTGGTAAATCTAAGCCATTGTTTTGAAATATAGGAATTCTGGATTTCTAGTTTGTCCTCTTTTTCTTATGTTAATCTGGGACCTTACACCCATAATAATATGGTGATTACTTCTCTTTCTAAAAATGCAGTAGCTAGTGAATAACTAAAAAGAATGGTCTTTTCATTCACTTTGAGTAAGATCTGGTATAATTCTTACCATGTGCCATCCTGTCACTTTTAACAAAGCATTTTCATAGAAGTTTGTGTGCTATGACAAACTGACACATTTTGACTCATGCAAATGGCAAATTAGTCCTTAAAAATTCTGTGAGAGAAATAAGAACACTGTGTGTACATATATATGCTTGTAAAGGGTTGTGTAAGATCATTGGTAGCTTAGTTATACTGGATAATTGTAATGTTACATACAAATTTCTTATTTAAGTATGCTGCATTATTAAGGACATTTATTAAACTTACTTTTTCTGGGTTTCAACTGGAATCCCTTTGGTGGGGATGTACCTATAGTTTCCTTGTGGAATAATACACTGTCACATCCAGAAAGAGAAGTACAGAGGCCTTTCTCAGTTTACAAAGTTGAAGGGGAAGGCAAATGGAGAAATAAACTTGATTGTCATTGGGATTAATTTGGCTAGACTCAATCTCTTGAGCCTTAATATGAGAAAGTAATATCCATTATATGTTTAGAGTTCTCAAATAGTTGATACTATTGTTAAATCTGTTTCAAATTTTATTGGGGTAGATACTAAAAATTAGTACACTGTCCTAATGAAGTTTAAATGAACAAGTTTTACATTTCTTAGGATTCGGGAATATATGGAATCTAGTTGTATTTAATTGAGAGCCACAGAGATTGTTGATTTATGAGTTGGACTCCTATTGTTTTAGAAACAATTTTGTGACGGAGTCTTGCTCTGTCACCAGGCTCGAGTGCGGTGGCGCAATCTTGGCTCACTGCAAGCTCCACCTCCTGGGTTCAAGTGATTCTCCTGCCTCAGCCTCCCAAATAGCTGGGACTACAGGCGCCCGCCACCACGCCCCAGGCTAATTTTTTGTGTTTTTAGTAGAGACGGGGTTTCACCACGTTGGCCAGGATGGTCTGGATCTCTTGACCTTGTGATCCACCCACCTCAGCCTCCCAAAGTGCTGGGATTACAGGCGCGAGCCACCGCGCCTGGCCTATTACTCATTTTCAATGTTAAACTTTCCTCACATTATTTTAAATACCACTTTTATTCAAAATTTCCAAGCTTACAATTATACAAAGTTCTCTTGCCATTTTACTATTTGAATATTCCAAAAGATAAGCTATTGTTTAAAAGGAAGTAGAAAGGCAATACAGATTTCAGATGAAGCCCCGAAAGTAATTGGAACAGCCGTAAAGAGTTTTCATGGTGCAGTCATATTTCAGGTTAGTGTTAAACATGTTCTAGCACTTCAGATCCAGCATTTCACAGGTATTGTCTATGGCTAAGTTTACAAAATGAGAGGGGGTAGCAAAAATTAGTAAATAACATTGGTATGTGGAAGGAACAAGAATGGAAGTACTTTGTGAATGACAGGTTTTCAAACATTTTTATCTAGATGGTGGTGACTCTGAAATTTACCTCTTAAACTTCTCTCCTGAACTCCATTTTTTCTCTCCAACTCTTCCCTGGATAGTTCTGCTGGAACTTCAACACTCCAAACTGAATTCATCACCTGTACCCCATCCTACTGCAAACTGATGTTCTTTCCTTTATCCATTAAGCTAGTTGGACATCCCTATAAAGTGTATGTTCTGTCTTTTCCTCTCCACCACTGTCCCCCCTAAAACCCCCACCCCCAATAATAGATGGTCATCACTATCCCCAACTGCTGCATTGGTCTCCTAGTTTGGACTCTACCCATAAATTTAATCTTTATATTGCCATCTCTGGGATGTTTTTCAAGTACAAAATTACAATCATTTTAAAACCAAAATTTACTCATTGATGTCTTCCTGTTGTCTGAACCTTAGCCATGATGAACTATAGGAACTCCCTATGAACTGTTTTTGGCCGCTTTGCCTTATGCTACTCCTTGTTCACTTATCTTAAAGTCTTACACCCTAGCAAAACATTTCCAATTCCTGTTTTTGTTCTGAGGCCACTGAATGCAGCACATATTAAACTAGTAATTCATCCCACTTATGTGTCTCCGCCAGAATAAAATATTAGCATTTAGTATTGTGCTTGGCACACATACTGTAGTTTTGTAATAAATGGTCCTTGAGTGTATAAATGAAAGAATGGTAATTCCATATTTATAAAGGCTTGATTTAATTTTATGGCTGCTGCTGCTTGGAACATGTACAGTCTGAGTTGTGTTAAAAATGTGCTGGGATTACAGGCGTGAGCCACTGCTCCTGGCCAAGATAGGTTCTTGATTGCTGTGTTGAAATCCTTAAAGGGCATTCCCAGATAAGAGACACTTTCAAATCACATAGGATCAAGAGACTGCTATTTGATACTTCCTTGTCCGATTTCCTCATTTTAACATGTTACATGTTTAAAGGACAAATCAGTCAGTAGGTAAAAAATCTTAGGGACATAGGCTTACCAGCTCAATATAATGAGCTAATTCAATATAATGAGTTAATAATTGACAACTAGATACTTTTACATGCAGCTTGTGAATAGCAAGTTTTCTGCCTGGATCAAACTGGGGGAGGGGAACACAGGAAAAACCTCAGAAAGCAAGCCACCATATTTTTTAACACTACTCAGAGACAACAGAAAAGCTAGCTTTGTGGTGTCAGAAAAGCTTTCTTGGACCTTATCATTCTAAGAGTTCAGGAAAATCTAATTTCATGTAAAAATGAGCAATGGAAAAAAATGTCCAATCACATAAAAGGATTTTGTCAAAATGGAATTATGAATGCTTTAGTAAACCGTGGAGGAAATACCTCTGAAGAATTTAGAAGAAAGTTGTCAGCAAAGCATTCATGGATGTAGTATTTGACCTGGGTCCTCCTTGCTATCTAAATCAGTTGGAATATTAAGCTATGCTAATAGTGCAGCTGGAACAGTAGTGGTTCCCTTCTTATTCTGCAGGAATGTTTTTATTCTGACTCTGCTGTTTGATAAGAGAGTGGGAAAGGGAGGGGGTTATAAAGCCGTGATTTATTCACAAGGGCATAGGGAAGGACAAGGAACTTGAGAAAATTGTGACTTACTCCATGTGGGGTTTCTGATCCATCATCGTCCTTGTTCTGCACTTTCAACCATATCCAGCTCAGACTACTGGGCATATCACTGTAATTGCTATCAATTGTTTTGCTAGTTGCTTAGTCCCAAATCATTCTTTATCATCTTTTCTGTCATACCACATTTAGGTATTTTATTCAACAAACGAACTGAATGCCTATTATATACCAGACACTCTTCTAAAGCACTGGGGAAAGATACAGCATGGATCAAAACAAATTCCTGTTCTCCTGGAGTGTACAATTTTGTTTGGTGGTAGGGGAAGCATATCTGAATATGACGGTAAGTGCTATAGAGAAAAGCAAATGAGGGTTAGAATGGAAAGAGATGCCCCACTGGCATGTAAGCTCCAGGAGACAAGGACCTGCCCTGCTGATTAAGGCATTTTTCGTGCTTAGAATGGTGTCTGCTACGTAGTAGATATCCATTATTGGTTGAATGAGTAAATGATGTAAATTAAAAACTTATATTTTCAAATTATGTCAGTAGCAGACACACATCTTAAATTGTTATATTACTCCAGTGCACGTCTTGCTGAAGTTCAGAAGAGGAAGCTATTTCGTATGAAGCCAATAATCTCAAATCAGAAATGAAAACAGATACCACCTGTCATCACTTGCCGTCCTCGGCTAAGCCAGGAGTGTCCGACCCATATTCGGTAGCCTGGATACTTAGGTATATTTAGTGAACTAACAAATGCATCCTAGCCACTGCAAAGCTTCAGAACCCTCGGGGGTAGTGCTTGGCTTCTGCTAGTCCCACAGGTATTTTAATATTAGCTGAATAAATGAAATAACCAAAAAATAAATCGCGACTGTGTCAGGTGAACTTGGGAAGGCGGATGCGCTTAGGGTCCGGCTGTAGTGAGTAACGCAGTCCCTGCGAAGAGTTATATGGAGTACGAACTCTGGCCTGCGAGTCTAGCTCACGGCTTTATACCTAAAACCTTGCCTTGCGCGACCGCCGCCGTCCTAACGCGACCTGCCCTGCCCATCATCTCCTATTGGCTGCCTCTCGGAAGACCCGCCTCTTGAGAAGGAAAAGCCGCCGCTTCCCGAATTGCCTGACGTCATGCAATGACCAATCAGAAGCAGCGATCTTCAGTTTTGCCCAGTGAGACTGGGTACGGGTCCTGGCCCGCGGAGTTTGATTTCGTCCTGGGATGCGGAAGTAGCTGTCCCGTCATGCGGAAGTAGCAGTCCAGTCCTAGGGACTAGAAGGTGGGTTGGTTGGGTGCGGGAGGAGGTGGGCGAGCTTTCCGTAACGTTACCCTGGCTGAACGTGAGGCTCCAGGGCTGGGCACTGGGTCGACCTCTTGTTCCTCGCTGAGGTCATCGTTACCGCCTGTGGCTGCAAGCCGAGGCGCGCGGGTGGAAACTGGGTCGAGGTCTGGGTAGACGTCTGAGCGATGTGGACAAGGAGTGGCGCAGTCTGGAATTTGATTGAGAATTCCTAACCCCTCCGCTTGATGTTCTGGTGATTCCCGGGGTCTCGGCTTCGGAGGAAGGTGAGCAAGGCTACCACGCTGTGTTTGGAGAGCACCAGGAAGCTTGTGGCCAAAGCGAGGGACGCGATCTGGCTCTGGTCACGGCCTGTTACTAGATGGGTGACCAAGTCACGTCACCTATCTGGAATTCATGCTCGTTATTTTAAAAGAGCGAGGAGGGATGGGCAGTACTTCGATATGTGTGTGAGAAGAGCTGTTCATTTTTTAAAATCTTTGAGTCGGGCCCTTGCCTGCTTTCAAGGGTCGGCTAAACTCACCCATCTGCTGAGTCTCAGCCCAAAGCTTTCAGGAACGCGAGCTTCGCTGTGGCA